GAGGTTGGAAGCTGGAGCTGGTGTTCTGTTGCAGGCCTAGGGGCAGGACTGGGGGGCAGATCTGCTCGCTGCCTACCTGGTCACACCCAAAATTTTAATACGGATGCATCAGGTTTCCAGGTAGCATTCTCGTCCTTCTTTCTTTCTTTAGGTTTTTGTTTTTTAAGACTTCTGGTTTATTGGATAAAAAGTACTGTTTAGGCTGGGCATGTCATATAGCAAGAGTATTTCTTGGGGTTGGCCTGAATACAGATACCAACACCCACGTTGGAGCCTTGTAACTTCCTGTTCCTCCAGAACCGGGGTTTCTGACACTGTCTTCTCTGATGTGTCACTTGTGCACACATGGGAAACCTTCTCTCACACACAGAGATACACAGGCAAATGGGGATAGACTTTTTTTAAAAAGTGCTTGAGACTTATAAAGCATTTAGAGCAACACAAGGTGCTTTGTTTGTATAATATGAATCATACAATGTTTATGTGAGAATCTGTTATCTTACATTTTCCTTGAAGAGGCTTTCATTTCCTTATTGGTATCTAATTATCCAGTCATCACTTATAGGAAACAGAATATTTTCTAAGTGATCCTGAAGACATTTTTCCTTATTAAAAGAGAATGAGATGTGTTAGTTCTCAAAATAGTCTCTACAGTGGACAAACATCAGAAGGAATCAAGCAAATTAATGCATTTCCATGGAACAGTCCTCCTTGCCCAACCCATTTTGTATTGTGGACAATGGAGAAAACTGGAGTACACAGGATGCCTGGTGTCGGTGTTTTATTTGCTTTTTATTTTGTTAGAATCTTGTAGTTCATGTTTAACATGCCATGATAAATTGGTATGTCTGTCTTTGTGTCTCTGTTTATCAGTGGTGCCGTCTATGTGGTATGATTTTCATTAGTTAAAGTAGTTAATTTGTTGATGATCTGGAAAATGATTGGACTTCATCTATTTTTGTAATATGTCTCATTTTTTGTCAGAAGTTCTCATATTATCTACCCTTACTCAACAGGACTCCCTTCAGCAGTTTCCTTGGGTACAAGCAGTTTTTTTTCCGCAGCACAAATGTGCAGTCACTTATCATTGTACCAGGCATGTTCGGGGGCACCACCTGTTGGGAGACTAACTCCTAATTCCCATCAGGTCTGATGACCTGGGCCAGATGAGTGAATCTGCACAATGATGAAAACACTCACCACCTGATTTAAACGAGTGGCCCCAGAGAAACTGAGTCATTTTATTTACACAGTTTCAATAGGTCAAGGAACAGTTGTACAATAAAATTTGTTTCTGATAATGGTTAAAATAATTGCCAGTTTGTTCCCTTACCTCATTCTCCTTCCATCCATGATTTTTCCTACAGGCAACCATTACCTCCTTTACTCATACTTTTAATATTAAAAGCATAAAGATTGTGGTAAGAAACAAAGCACGTTTTCTAACTAGACATACCTACAAGTAGAACAGTGTGCCCAGTTGGTGGCATTTAGGGTTACAATATCATGCAGAGTGATAAATAGTAATGTATCTAGTGATTAATATTTACATTTGGTAGGATCTGCATTCTTGCAATCAAAGCTGACTCAGTTCATTTTACACACTGTACTATTCTATATCCTGTGGAGATATACCGGTGTTTTTACTGTCATCCTGCAAGCAACGTAACTTAAAAGCTTTCTCTCAGTAGTTGCTACTGCTTAGCCCTTGTTCTCATGTGCCCTACTTCTTAGCATCCTATAGTATTGGCACAGTTACTTGAAATGAGGGCATTATGGGTTCCTATGATTCTGCTTCATTCCCTGTTTCCAGACAGTTCCCATTAACTCCTGACATCCCTACTAATTAGCATTTCTCCTATAAACTTAGAATAGTTCTCTCCAGGACAGTTATGTAAATTTGTAAAGTCATGAACTACTATGACTCTTTCAGGCTAGTTGCAGGATGTGGTGGAAAGTCAGGATCATGTTGTGAGAAGCCTGAGTTCATTCTCACACTTGAAACATCAAAGGCTTTAGGTGCTCAGTCCAGTCCTCTGTCATTTTACCTGTAGCTCTGAGAATGTTAAACTAGAGGCAGCCAGTAATGAGATTTGTTTGATGAAAGAACGAACATGTAGCACATATTCTCCTGGGGTCATGCCCAGAATTGTGCATGGAAATATACATAGGCTATGCCAAAGTGGGTCAGGTTCTCCAGGGCCCTGCCACAGGGAGAATTTGTTCAAGCTATTCTCATAAAGATGTCAAATGGCTCCGACTATGGCACCAAGAAATGGAGTAAAGCAGGATTTGAAAATAATGGACTTCTTTCTTAGATGGAATATTGAAGAGATTGGATAGTATTACTGATGACTCAATCAGGTCTTTAGTGAAAAAGAAACCGGTGAGGAATGAAGAAATGAAAAGTCTGTTTTCTAGACAAAAGCAGCACTAGGCAGTTTCAGATGGCAGTTGTAAGGTGAAACAGAGGGAGGAAATTTCCAGGTGTTTAGCACCATTGAAGAGAAGGCCTTTCCCCGGCTTTTGAAGACTAGGAAGGACTCCATCCAGCTAGGCCTTCAATCTATGGTAGTGATTCCTAACCCAAGGAAGCAACTTCATACTGAATCCGGTGCAACTCTGGTCCAAGCATGGCAGGGTCTGTTACAATACAGAACACAAATTTGTGTTAATCATTGAGGTTTTTCTGGTTCTAGATTCAAAAACCATAAAATGTAAGGTCATGGAATTTTAGGCTGTGGTTCAGCACTGTTGTAGGCATCTGACTGGCAGAATCAAAATCCCAGTGTGGAGACAGTGAGACTTCATTGAAGCATGGTGCTGTGAGGATGAGGCCTGAACATAATTGTGGAGCTATGAGACATGTGCCATGGAGAGTCGCATATTTGGAGTGGTCATAACCAAAGAGAGAGACATTTAAAGGTGCAGGGAGTGGGCCACCTAAGACTTTTGAAACCGAAGCCCTATGGGTCTGACACAGGGCTGCATTATGCAATGTTTGGACTGCTGGGTTTCAGTCTCGCCTTGTTCCAATCTTCCCTCATTGTGTCCCCATACAGTGCCTTTGGAATAGGAGTGGGTATGCTGTGCCATGGTTGGCTGGAAAGATGTAAATTTTGTTACTTTGTCAGATGTCACAGTCAAGAGATTGTCTTGAGTGACAAAAGATACTTCTGACATTTGCACAGTGTATTGAATGTTGGAGGAGATGAGGATCATTGAAGTTGTACCAATAGCATTTTCTTCATGGATGACCATAAGCCTCTGGTGACCTAGGTCACAATCTATTGGATTGAATGAAAAACCTTCCAGACAGGATGATGTATGATTCATTGGAATATGTGTCTCTCCTTGGTGACTTTCATTGGGGTGCTTGTGGAACCTTCAGTAGGAGGAGCATTTTCTGGATGAAAATTCCTCTTTGGAGATAGAAAATGAGTGTGTATAGTATCAACCCATTTCCTGTTCTTTGTGTCAGCTGTATTGTGGATGAAACTAATCAGACAGCTTCCCCTCAGTCTGCCATGCCATTTCCACCATTGCAGAGTGTATCCCTAAATCACATAAGACACAGTAGAAGCGATTGCTATTCAATTCTAAGCCATTTTGCAAGCTTGTCTGTTTTAAAAGGTTTCATTTGTTGCCCTTGATGTTGGGATAGTAGCTCTAGAGACATGGTTTGTCTCAAGTCAGTGATTTCCTGATTCTGTCTCCCAAGTGCTGGGGGCCCACATTCCTGGCTTTTACAATATAATTGCGTAAATGGCCTGGAAAGTAGATTTTTGTTTCTGTCGAGCATATACTGTTGTGCTGGGCTTCACCCACATCTTTCTGTTTTCAGAAAGGCAGAGGGTATCATGCTGTTTCCTAGAACACGTTTATATGACATTAATACTGCTTGAGCCTTCTGAGTCATTGGATTGCATCGGTGTGCTATTTTTGTACCTAATGTGTCCATTTTGATTTTTTAATGAATATCAATTTGCCTGTATGCTCAGATATATACCCCATGTGTGCCTGGTCCTCACAGTAGTCAAGAGATGGTCTCAGGTTCTCTGAACTTTCAGTAATGCACAGTTGTGATCCCCATGTAAGTACTGGCAATTGTGCTGACCTATCTGTAAGAACAGCAAGAGCTCTTTGTCTCTGAGCCATCTCGTTTGCCCTATTTCGATTATTTATGGTCAATATTTACTTTGCTAATGTTTCCACCTGTCCATTCATTACTATTTAAATGTGCAGTTCCTTTTTTAAGGTCTTATTAATGTTGCACTTTAAACTGGGGCCCTTCGGGTTTCTGGAAGATGAATACAGAACTGGAGTGCATGCATAACTCTTTGTAAGAACTTCAGTTAAGAAGCCCTCTGGCCGGGCGTTGGTGGCGCACGCCTTTAATCCCAGCACTTGGGAGGCAGAGGCAGGCGGATCTCTGTGAGTTCAAGGCCAGCCTGGTCTACCTAGCGAGTTCCAGGACAGGCTCCAAAACAATACAGAGAAACCCTGTCTCGAAAAACCAAAAAAAAAAAAAAAAAAAAAAAAACAATAATAAGAAGAAGAAGCCCTCTGAGTTCTATATTTCTATTTGTTTGATTGATTTTTCAGGGCAGTCAGTATGTTTATATGTATTTTTGATCTGTCTGGAAACTTTTGCACACACTCAAAATGAGTTACATTTGCCTCTGTGTTCTAAGTTGTGGGTATAAAGTCTTGAGTCAATATGCACACCTTGCCTATATTTTGTTGTTAGTCCTAAGTCATACAATTTCTCTGATGTTTAATGCGTACTGCATTTCTCCTGCAAGGTAAATCCCATACACAGGTTACAGAAATGACAGAGGTGAACCTCCCATTCATTTTCCTTCAAAAGTGATGTGGTGGTTGCATCACAATGTCCGTGTGGGAAACACCAGAATTAGTTTACTCTATGGTAAAGAAGTGTACATTTACATGTAGTCAGTTTCACACCTTTTGTTCCCCACATGCATGGGATATTTTAGAATGCGGTGACCTATGATGATGTGCATGTGAAATTCACTAAAGAAGAGTGGGATTTGCTGGATCCTTCCCAGAAGAAACTCTACAGTAATGTGATGCTAGAGACCATCAGGAACCTCACTGATATAGGTAAGATGGGTGAAATTTACTTAACATTTTAAAATAAGGGGACAGGTGTTTGTTGGTTATCGATGGTCTTCTATACTTTTTATTGGGAAAGAGGAAGAATGTGGTGAATAAATTATGCATGATGCTAATGTTCACTGAAGATATCACTTTAAGTGTTGCACAATTTCCAATAACTTTTCATACATTTTCTGATACTATATTTTAGGCTACAATTGGGAAGACAATAATATTGAAGAAGATTCTCCAAGTTCGAAAAGACATGACAGGTAATTTACATACACAAGCTGATATAAATGTACCCCTGAAGAAATTTTAATGTGTCCTGTATGTTATAAAGGAAAGCAACAATGTAAATAAGAACAGCTTAAAGTGTATGCATGATTTTTAAATTCTCAAAAAGCCATATATCTCAATTTCATGTAGAAAAGTTATGTTTGAAAAGCATTAGGAAATAAGACAAGGGAACAATACCTTAACAGATATGACCATTTGAATCCCAGCTGACTGAGAACTATGTTGTAGACCTGCCAATCTGTTTAGTTTCATACTATTCGTATTACAAAATGTATATATGTCTAGTAGGTGATAATTATATGTCCATAATCTTCTCAGAAATAAATTGTCCATAATAAAGCTAGCTTGACTTTTATACTTGCCATGTCTTTGCTAAGTGCATTGAGATGGGCAAAAAGAGTCAAGGGGCAGTTATGGAGAAACCTTAATCCTTGTACCACATGTCTGTGAGCAACAGAAGGTCAAACTATGTAAATGCAATGTGGAAGTCTTTTATTTGTTTCCTCCTTTAGTCATTATATCATATGTGTTTCAGTATAGGAACCATGTGAGCATAGGTATATGGAAAGAATTAACACTGTCTCTCAGAACAATTAGAAGCTATGTAGTCTCTACTTTGACTAGACTTGTTGAATGTGGTTCAAGTTTATAGTTGGTTCTCCATCCTCATTGGAAATACATCAACAAACTCACAATGCAGAAAAGCCTTATGAGTACTAGAGATTTGTAAAATCTAGTATTTGTCATGGTTCACTTGGCAAATGTAGTATGAGTCCCACTATGGGAATATTTATGAATTTAACATTTGTGGTAATATCCTGAATTTTTTCAGTTCTCTTCAAATATATGAAAAAACCTCATATAGAAGAAAGATGCTATAAATGTGTTCCATGTTATAAAATCTTTTACTGTTGCAGGTATCTTCAAAGATGCAATCACTCTTTTTTTTTTTTTTAAGATTTATTTATTACATATACAGTGTTCTGCCTACATGCCAGAAGAGGACATCAGATTGAATTGCAGATGGTTGTGAGCCACCATGTGGTTGCTGGGAATTGAACTCAGGACCCCTGGAAGAGCAGTCAGTGCTCTTAACCTCTGAGCCATCTCTCCAGCCCAGATGCAATCACTCTTAATGACAGGGGAAAACATGAGTATAAAAAAGGAGATAAATCCTTAAGATCTGATTCCTCTTTATAATTAGACCAGATTGTTACATTGATTTATGCACATATAAATATTTACCAGTGTATTGAATGTAGTAAAGCTTTTACATGTGCCAAGAAACCTTTGGGATGTACTCAATGTGTTAAACCTTTTACATATTACAGCCACCTTGAAAGATATGAGAGACTTCATATTGAAGAGAAAACCTCTGAAAGTATTCAATATGAAGATGCCATTGCATGTCACAGTAGACTCCAAGTACATAACAGAATACATACTGGAGAGAAGCCCTATGAATGCGATCAATGTGGTAAATCTTTTAGAAGTCAAAGTTATCTTCAAAGGCACAAAGGAACACATACTGGAAAGAATCCCTATGAATGTAATTGGTGTGGCAAAGCCTTTTTACAAAACGCTCATCTTCAAATGCATATAAGAACACATACCGGAGAGAAACCCTACGAATGTAATCAGTGTGGTAAAGCCTTTTCACAGCAAAGTAGTCTTCTAATGCATAAAAGAACACATACTGGAGAGAAACCCCATAAATGTAATCAGTGTGGAAAAGCCTTTTCAGGAAGGCATTATCTTCAAATGCATATAAGAACACATACTGGAGAGAAACCCTATGAATGCAATCAGTGTGGTAAAGCCTTTTCACAACGCAGCCATCTTCATAATCATCAACGAACACATACTGGAGAGAAACCCTATAAATGCAATCAGTGTGGTAAAGGCTTTTCACAGCGCAGCCATCTTCATAATCATCAACGAACACATACTGAAGAAAAACCCTATGAATGTAATCAGTGTGGTAAAGCCTTTTCACAAAGATATTATCTTCAGCTACATATAAGAACACATACTGGAGAGAAACCCTATGAATGTAATCATTGTGGTAAAGCCTTTTTGCAAAGCAGTAATCTTCAACAGCATTTAAGAACACATACCGGAGAGAAACCCTATGAATGCAATGAGTGTTGTAAAGCCTTTGCAAGTCACAGTTCTCTTAAAGTACATAAAAGAACACATACTGGAGAGAAGCCCTATGGATGTGATCTATGTGGTAAAGCCTTTCGATGCAACAAAACCCTCCAACAACATAAGAGGACACATACTAGAGTGAAGTCCTATATATGTGATCAATGTGGTAAAGCCTTTTCACATAAGAGCCGTCTTCAATATCATGAGAAAATGTACTGCAGAAAACCCCATAACTATAATCAGTCAGTGCAGAAAGTTTGTATTTCATGGTAGACTTTCTACAAGAGTAAACTTTTAGTACACAATCCATGTGTTAAACACTTTTCATATATACAGTAGTCTTTGAGGACCTGCAAATACCAGTACTGAACGGAATGTGAACTTATTAAACTTTTATTTGGCCAATGGATCCTGAGGGATACAGGACCAACATAAAAGTGGCATGGCAACAAATGTCAGACATGCCAGCTAAATCAGGAGGCTATGATCTCAAATGGTCAAGCTGCAGCATGAAGCAGAGAGTGGCAACTGGAAATGGCACGTGGAAGTCAATTCTCAGAGCCCAATCCTGATGACATCTATTCCACTAGGGCAGTATTTCCTGCATCTTCCCAAATGATATCAAGAACCAAGAAGGACTGATTCCTCTGACTTAAAGCCAACCTGCTTGCTTTCTGTTTCATCAGCCAATTTATGATGAGGAAAAACCCTGGAAAGAAGCCTCTAGATGTCTCAATACCTGTGCCAGAGGAATGAATATTTATAAGGGAAAAACTTTCATGGATGAAAATACGTTCTAATATTTGTTTTACAGATGGAAGCAGATGCAGAAAACAACAACTAAATATTTGGGCATAGCTCCTGGAGTACAATGGAAGTGAGGGAGTCAAAGACCATGATGGGGAAACCCACAATAACAGCTGACCCGAGCTACTGAGAGATCACTGACTCCAGTCTGGCAAATGGGGAATCTGAATAAGACCAAACTAGACTCCCTTAATATATGTGACAATGGTGGGGCTGAGGCAACATATGAGGCCACTGGCAGTGGGTCCAATATCTAACTCTAATGCACAAACTGACTTAGTGGAGCCCATTCTATATGGAGATACCTTGCTTAGACTAGGCAAAAGGAATGGGGAGGTAGACAAGTACCTTTGTCCTGCCTCAATGATGTCATAAGGACAGACTCAGACTTACCCTCTCAGAGAAGCAGAGTTGAGGTGGCATAGAGGGGGAAGAGTGGGGAGCAGGAGGAGAGAAGGGAGGGGAACTGAGAATGGAATGTAGAAAAAAATTAACAAACTTAGCCTTTTCTAATTTAGGTCCTATTACTCAAACTTACTCATTTCTATTCATTTACTTTCTGCCTTGTGGCTTTGTTGTCTTTGTGCTACCCGTGGTGCTTTTCTGCTGCCTCTGTCTCTGTCTCATTATTCTGCCCATCTTCCCAGAGTTCTCTCCTTCTCCGTCTTCCACCTACACATCCTGCCTAAAAATGCCCCTTTAGCTTTTTATTAAACAATCAGAAGGTGTCCTGGTAAGGCCACAGCTTCACTGGGCTCAAAACAATTATTATACAGCCACTGGGGGTTACATGTGGAAGGGAGGAGGAGTCTTCAGTTAGCTTACTTGCTTCTCTGTCCTGCACAGCTTGTGTGTCACCAGTGAATGCCTCCTGGTATTAGAGGCTGGGGAGACAGGATGAACTGAGGATAGGAAGGTTGGGGGTGAGTATCTTGGTGATACATTGTAGATGGGGTCAGAGAGGAAAGGGAGACTGCCGACGGTTTTCTGTTACAGAGGTGGAGATTAGACTGGGGGATTTGATCTGGAGGGGCAGAAGGAGAGGAATGCACACACTCTCAGATTACTCGTTACACTGACAGGAACAGTCCTTGCTTGGTTTTAAGGGTGCCTGCTGGAGTTGGAAGCTAGGACACCGCGAAGAGTTGGGGGAGGGAGGCTAGAAGGGTAAGATCATGTTCATCCCCAAGATACACTTTACTAAGGATGTCACAATATAAAATGTCTGTCCCACAAACTTACCAATTCAGACATCTTGTAAGTTGTCTCTTAAAAATATCCAGTCTCTCTTAAAATCGAAATTCTCTGCAAGGGTGGAATCTCTTTTAAAAGTTTACAGTCTCAACTATGGGCTCCTGTTGTTGTGCCCAGAATCTGAACCCCAAACCTCCAAGAGACCAGATCAAAAGCAAAAGCAGAGTCTTTAATTCAGAGTTAACCCCGATCCTCTATTTATCAGTCACAGGGGGTGGAGTAGTAGGACCATGAGCAGCAGTGTGCCTTGTGGAAATCACTGATGCCCCTGAATATCAGTAAGGTGGTTTAAATCTGACCTGTGATTGGTCTGGACACCCTTCTTCTTGTGAGAAAGAGGCAACACTCCACTGCACATTATGTGCGTGCTAGAGGCCCTATGTACAGTAGGACTCAGGGTAAGTCCCAATAGAGAGCAGGAAGAGAGTGGGGGTTAGCTATTGGAGGAAAAGAGACAAGTTCTACTGTGATACAAATCTCTGCAGATGTGGGACCCTTCTGTGCCTGGGGTGAAGGCCAGGACTCAGAACTACAGTGCCCAACCCTTCAGCATGCTCTGTCTCTCATGACAATGTCTCTGCTCACTCAGAACTCTGGGAGGGCACACCAATCAGATAGGGTGCTGGGCTCTTTGGGACTGTTGCTGCAGCCTCAGCTCCTGTGCTGAGGGAGTCATGAAGGGTTTTCTGTGCTGCATCGTGGGCACCACTGCAGGGAATTGTGTGGGAAGTAATGACCTCAGATGCCGCTACATGGCGAGCACCGGGGTTAATCTGCCCAGACAAGGAGGAGCAGCAACCTGAGCCTTAGAAGCTAGTGTGGTGGATCCTCCCTGGGAATGAATTGGAACCAGTAGCCAGATGATTAGCCAAATGCCCATTGTCAGTCTTCTGGACCAGACTTGTTAGTGTCAACCAGGTTTGCACTAAACTGAATGGAAGTCTTGTCCATTTGGACACTGAATAGTGGTTGGCTCAAAGAAATCTCTCAAATTTGCACAGTCAATTTGATATACCTTTATTCACATGACACAAAGTATTTCATTCTGAGAAACTATTTAGAAAGTCACTCACCATGCCCTATCAGGTCCTTTATGATGGAGACCTCTGCAGCTCACTGGCTCAAACTTTAGTCTGATCTACCTGTTGCCTAGTCTGGTTCCCCCTGCAGAGTACACAGGATATCGTCTCTCTCACTCTGATCTGAAGGGAGAAGCTATGCTCCACATGCAAATTCTTTTCCTGTGACTGCAATGGGCATCCACTGTGTGGCTCACAGTAGTAAATTGAGATCTCTCTGGAGTTACAGACGTGTCATCCAAGAATTTAGGGTGGTTAGTCAGGAGGAAAGCATGGACAATTCCCTCAGGGGATACAAACAGAGATAAAGTCCACCTCAATCAGCATAGGATACCTTAACTCAAGCCTGATTTTCTAAAAGGCAGGAGATGCAGCTGTTCTAGAATTACTATGGCTTTCCAGGGAGAAATCATATCAGCCCTGTCAGGATTAATGAAGAAAAATCTCTTTAGTAGTGGTGCACATTCAGGTCCAGCCAATGTTTAAGGAGGAGCTACCCTGGAATAGACTTTGCTAACTTATATACATCTTAGATCTGTACAGTCCACACTCCCTGTCATCTTTACATCTCTTTCAGGTCTGGGTCCCTTGTTACATTTTCAACAATTTAAAGCAGGACAGAGGACTTCAAGTCCTACTGTAGGGAGAGGTTCTAGAATCCTGTAGCTCTGACTATGCCCGTTTGGGCGTGGTCACAGGTATGTAGAATATGTGTGGAATAAAGAGCCAGGAGGAAGGGGACTTACTCTCTTTTTAGGGTTCAGGCCGGGTCTTGGAAAGCTGCAGAAACTAATCATGGTTACCATTTTCTCTTGTAATTTCTCACAAAAGTAGCTAGCAATACCCTTATTCAGTGTACAGTTATATTTCCTTTTCAGCTGGTATCAGAAGTGGTATGTAACTTGGTGGATGACCTGTCATCTTTCCTCATTCGGAGGTTTCTCCTTTTCAAACTGAATCTTCATCCATTTTGATGATATCCAAAGCTTTTCTTCTCCTGTGAAAACAAAGGCAAAACCCCTTCCCCAATGTAACACATATCCTGGTTTCCATACTGAGGTCAATACATCTTTGAAGTACACCAACTGATTTAGTTCAGAAGTTTTTTCTGTAGTCCATTGTCTTTCTGCAACTGTTTGTCCTTTATCATTAGCATTAAGAAAGTTCATTATTAATAAAGCATTATATAATCTGTGTTTAGGGGTTTTTGTTCCCTCTGCCTGTTTATAGAGCATTTCTTTTAAAGTGTAGTTAGATCTCTTAAACACTACTTGTCCTTGTGGGATTATATGGCACACCATTTATGTGCTTTATGTTATAATATTTGAAAAACTGTTCCAATTCGCTGGAGACATATGCTGGAGCATTGTCAGTTTTTATTTGTGCAGGTATACCCATAGTGGCCATTACTACTAATAGGTGTGATAACAGAA